TTGCTGTAAATATTTGATGCGACTAATTGCTGCCACATTGAGCGTTTGGCAGGACACTCTCTTACACCAAAAAAAGATAATATATAAGCCTGTATAATAAAAGCAAAGTAAATGAAAAAAGGCTGTCAGTGCAAGATTGGTGCTTGGGGTTTTTTGACACATGTTTTGTGTGTATCGGTTATAGTATACCTGCATAGGTGAAGTTCAATGCGTAATTAATTTGTTCATGTACCGAATTCTAGAATTTATGCGGGCTCAAGCGAAAGTGCAATGGCCAGATGACATCAACCGGGATTCTGGGATGAGGGGCCCAATCATCGGAACGGGGATGCGCGTTACTTCCGACGTACAAGACGCGAAGAGCAATCTATTTCTCCGCATTCCGCGCGCGCATTTGATCGTCTTTCTTGGCTTCTGGACACGTCTTTGGATAACCTCGCTTGGGTAGCTTGTTGTTTTCGAGGGTAGTCAGCTTGTGCAGTTGAGTTTATTTGCCATTGTATAGTGCCGTTCTTGAGCTGCAGGCCGGTTGTAAACGGGTATACAAACACCCCCTCTCTGTGTTCTGCTTTTGTTGGGTTGCTGATCTCAAGACACTATAGGAACTACCAGCAAACTTCAGATTGTGTAGTTGGCACCATCGTACCTATCCTATTCGACTCCGCGTTGCACAACCGCACTCTCGTGACTCCTACGTCACTACCAATACTACCGACATAATGTCATCAGCAGCACGATACCGTCGTCCTGCAAAGGACAATGCGCCCACAGATGCGACGAACTCGGCCGGGGTCCCAGATCTTGCGGCTGCAAAAGAGAAGGCTGAGCTCAAGCAGGCGATTAAAGAGCAGGCCGAGGAAACGTCAAACGGCCTGTCAGTACTAGATGTACTACGTATACTGGGCGGGCTGATACTGTTGAGTTGTGGGCTGAGCTATCTGAGTACCAGCGGAGAAAGCATGACATGGGGCTACAACCCATGGTGGACACGAGCGCGAGAATGGAAGAGTCTAATTGTACGTCACTCCATGTCCACATCTCGGCGGCATATGCGTAGAGAATCCATACTAACCGCCTACCGCAGCAAGGCGAAGTCGTTCTCACCGATGGCGAGCTCGCACTATACGACGGCTCCGATCCCAAGAAACCCATCTACCTCGCCATCAACGGCACAATCTACGACGTCTCCATCTCGCCCACCACCTACGGCCCCGGCGGCTCCTACCACTTTTTCGCCGGCAAAGACGCCGCACGCGCCTTCCTCACTGGATGCTTCGCCGAAGACTCCGTCCCTGATCTGCGCGGCGTAGAGCAAATGTACATGCCCATTGACCCTGAAGAAAAGGCCTCTCTCACCCCTGAGGAACGCGAAGCAGCGATGGAGAAAGCGCGCCACAGGAAGAAGCTCAGCAGTGGCGAGCTGAAGAACAGACACGCGCAGGAACTCAAGAGTGCGAAGAAACAGGTTGTCGATGGCTTGGAGAGCTGGCATAAGCTGTTTAGGGGCGATAAGGGGAAGCCATATCGTCGTGTGGGGTATGTGAAGAGGGAGAGTGATTGGCTGGAGAAGACGCCCAAGAGGGGGTTGTGCGAGCAGGCTGAGAAGGGGAGACCGGTGAGGAAGTATGATTAGAGTATGATTGGGGAGTAAAAAAAAGGGGGGGCTATAAAGGGGACGAAGCTGGGAATAAGAGAGTTTTAAGTTTATGTAGCTGCATCGTGAGATGAGAATCCTTGTCTCTACCGAAATATTCAAATTTGTGCTTATATGAGCCGGTTACCTGCTCTCCTCGAGTATTGTTGAATTTGTGACGTGATTATTATACAAGTGTCAAATCTCAATACGAAGGCGGATAAAAAGTCTATCCTTTTCACTGGGATATCAGTCAGTCAAATGTAAAATTGAAGAACAACTCGTGACACACGGTTGCCAAAAGTGCACATCTTAGTCTGTGCATGTATTCATGTCTACCCTGATCCTTTTCTCACATGTGTGTTTCTTCTCCACGCCTCTATTCGAATTTATTTTGCTAGACTTTAATCAAGACCCTAGAGGAAAGTTTTCAAGCAACAACTACTTGCCAACTAACCCACGTGTCTCTCTTGCTTACTGTTCCAAGAGTCTAATTCCAACTTGGACTATACTACGATAGCACTATGTTACTCGTTGTATCAAGAACACACAGCAGTGGAATTTACACGCTAGCACAATCGATAACCACCATTACCAAAGCGCAATTCGTATCCCAAACCACTTTAGCGATCCACGCAATGTAGTCCACTTTTAGGATTGTGTGCTAGATATTAGTTGCAATTATGTCTCCTTCCATCAATAGAAGCACCAGTTTCTCCTCCAACCCCAGCATCGGTGGTTTAGTGGTAAAATTAGCCGTTGCCATCCATCTGTTCCTTCAAAAAATTCAGCTTGGACAACGTCGGCTAGCCCCGGGTTCGATTCCCGGCCGATGCAATGGATTTTTTTGCTGCTGCTGGTGACATACTTTTTGGCCATGTGGCATGTTGTGTGTTGTTCAAAATTACAGTTTTTTTTAGGGTTTGGGATTCGGTTAATTGTTGGTGGGAAGTGGGGACAGAGAGTCACGTGGCACCACTTGATGCGGATTGCATCACTCAAAGTGTATGTGTGCGCTAGAGATTATCTAGAAGTAGGTTTTTTGACTGCAAGAATTCATCACTTGGGTATTCGTATTCCTTTTTTTTTTTGCTTTTTTCCCTTTCTTTCTCGTTTTCAAACAGGGAATTTTTCGGTCGTGGTATGCTCTAAATTTTCCAATATCTTTTTTTTGGTAGTACTTTCAAGGGTTTATACTTACTTTACTATACTAGTCTTTTATTAATTCCCTTCCCCACCCACCCACACACACACACCTTAGCTTATAATCAACGTGATCAATTATAACTAACATGACATTAACACAAAGTATATAATGGCTACAAGAGGAAACAGTAATCTACACTTCCCCAAAGAGGAGCCTTGGCGCAATGGTAGCGCGTTGGTTTTCGGCTTTTGAATTGTCTCTGATCACCAAAGGTTGTGGGTTCGGTACGTGGCTCTCCTACTATGGGAACCCGCTTTCTTTCGATCCATGTTACTAACGTAAATTGACGTAGATCCCCATGGGCTTCGCTGTATTCTTTTCTCTTTTGCTTTTTTTTTCTCTCGTCTCTCTCTCACTCTCACACTCTTTTTTCTCACTCTGGATTGTTTGAGTGTGCCCTTGATGATTCATAATCTTCATGCCTTTTGCGTTTAGCAATTGGCTTTCTGTGGGTGCTTGTGTTTTGCGAATAAGCTTGGCTGGAGACCCCCCCTTTCCTTTTCTTTCCCACACCCTCGCAAAAAAAAAGCTGAGTGAGAGGGCTGGCCCTTTGAGTTTCGGCCATGTGAGACGCAGGGGAGAGGATTATCTGCGGCACGCTCGGATGCCTTGGAGTGCTGATAAGGTTGCGAATCCTATTCGCCGTTCCAAAAGGCAACTATTTACGACCGGTGATATATATACCATGGAGACGGCTGATCTACAATTGACGAAAAAAAAAGAAAAAAGAATTAAAACAGCACAGCTAAGATGCGCAAAGGCCCACTTTGGCTCTCCGATCTCCCGCGTTTCAGATACATGAATGACATGGCAGCAGCCGGGTACATGCTTTGCCGATAACGTAAGTAAACGCTCAGGATGGCTGAGAAAGCAGATACAGAGAGGGCCTGAGAATCCTGCTCGCGTCATTCTGCGGCAGGCACTTTGTGATACATACATGGTACTTGTAGATCATAGGCAGCCCATGATCCGAAATCTGAAACAGCTGCACCAGATCGATGGGCATTGGCCTTGGCCGCAGCTCAGCGATTGACCTGTGTCTGCTTTTCAACGACGTGGGGAATGACGTAAAGTTGATTGGTGTGCCAAAAGTTGGGGTCACAAGAAAAAGAAAGCAAAAAGAGACATTGGTGCAGGCCAACAACTCGACTCAAACGGATTGGTACAAAGTGCCCTTAGGCCGAAATCATTCACCCAAGCCGAGGCACTAGGTAGATAAATAGGCAGTTTGAAGACTTGTTGTTGGCATAACACAATGGACAAATAGTCAAATCTCCACCAAAGAATGCGGTCTAGAACGTTGCACTTTTTTTTTCAATGCCTGTTCATAAGTCTGACCCCAAATTGCCAAGCGAATTATAGTCGGGGTCGGTCGCATGGGGATGCTGGGGGCAATCAGGCCATATGGCAAGTGTCCAAGACAGGCTTCAGCCAGCCAATCACCAGGGAAAGCATGGGCCAGAGAGCACGACTGGATTCATCTAAACCAGGTCATGTTGCTCTTGGGCGAGTCGTGAAACAGGTCGAGGTATGATTTGGATTGCGTGTTGTCGAGATCAGCAGTCTTAGGTGTGGGTGCACGCCCGTTGTTCTGCAAGATGATGGAACAGCAGTTCGACAGTGTCATTTTAGCTATGGGGTCGCAGGAGGCTTTCCAAGATCCCGCAGACGACGGCAGGACGGGAATCGGTGATCGGGAGGCTACACGTATGTACATGTGTGTACATTCAGCTAGTCATGTGCGTTCCTATTGGCTGGGTAGTTGTAATCAGAAAGCATGAGGGTAAGGTGTACAGCGGCATCGGCATGAGCAGCATCGGTATGCGGAGCTGGGCGGCGCAGACAGCAAGTGGGCCAGTGTGGAGTACCAGACGGGTAGAATGTGTACAAGACATGATTGGTGGGCAAGAGTTGATTTGTGACTGAAAACGGTTGAGGAAGCGTCAGAGAGTGCATGATGGCATGGCAGCTGGAAAAGACGTGTTCTGAGCCGGGACGGGAACTACTAGGTTTGGTTGGCTGCGCCTATCGGAAGAGGTGGGATGAGAACAGGTGGATGAGTATCTGTCCATCAGCACCGGCCAGAATGGCGGCTTGGTGGACAACCGGCGTTGCTCGGACAGGTGTATAGGGAATTAGTGGTTTGCTTACGGCCGTGCATCATGAGTCGTTGCGCTCATCGCGTCCACGTCCGCGCCTGAGGCCTGGGGCGGTGGTAGAACAACGCAGTTGGATCAACGGCGTGCTGCAGTCGCCGCGGCAAGAGTGTGGATGCAGTAGTAGCGGCATTAGTGTTGGGCGCTCTGCAGGGCTGGTTTCGTCGATTCGATTACGTCGCGCGTCCCGCCAGCCTGGACGGCTAGCCATGCGATGAGTCGATTGCAGCGTGCCGGCGAGACTAGCGGACGTGGCTGGCGACGTGAGACTCGGTTCGCGCAGTTCTTCAGGAGCAGGACGTGGTTGGTGTGGTAGATATGTATCATTGTCGCGAGTGTGCGTAGTATGTGTGTATTCTACCAATGAGTGAGTGCAGGCGTTGTCGCGAGCATGCAGAAACGACGGCGGTGATTGGCCTGGATGCCGAAAATAGAAATGGCAGCTTGAAGACGATCGCGTCATGCCAGGTGCAAAGGGTGGGGCGCGCCAAAGACTATGGTGCAACAGCGACAATAGCTTACCTCTCTGCCTCTGCCTGCCTCTGCCTGCGGTTGCGGCACGGGACTCTACTCTGGGGTACGGCAAGAGACCAGGCGGGCAGACGAGGGGGATTGTCAGTCAGTAAGCAAGCAAGCAAGCAAGCAAGCAGCACTGCACCGTCGGTTTCGCACTGATTGCGCACTCATATCGCAGGAAATGATGGCATGCGCGGCATATGCAAATCAAACACGTCTCATCTCACCGGCTTCCCCACACGCCTTGGCGGGCCTTTGCATGCTGTGTGTTGCGGCGTAGGCATTGGTTTGCGGGCAGCACACCTGCAGGAGGACGAGTGCTAGGCGTGGTGTCTGTAGAGTCGAGCACTGTAGTGTGTATAGAGGACATGTCGGGTCGTGTGTGGGCCGATGTTGTGCCGCGGACCCTGTAGGGACATGCCCAACACGGCCTGTCGTGAGCCCGCAAAAGGCCATCGCCTCTGCTGGAGCGGGGTACAGGCGAGTCGGTGAGCCATGCACATGTGCATCCATACCCATACCCATACCCATACCCATGCTCATGCTCATGGCGACAACGGCCTCTTATCGCACTGCACCCAGCGACTCGAAGATTCCCACCGCCATTCGTTCATCTTGTCCTGTCCTGTGCTATCCTGCCCTGCACTGCAAACCCTCAGCCGCAGATGCCCTGCTGTGGGTCGCGCCGGCCGAGCTGTTCGGATTCGGGATTGGCCATGTCGTTCCCCCTCTCAGATGGCAATTCCCACTCTGTTTACCAGATCGCGTCGTATTTGGCATGGCCTCAACGCGTCCAACCACACGCCTATTCGCTCACATGCGACGGGCAATGCCACACCCCACCCGTGCCCACACACACCCTCTTTGCGTGGGACGGCACAAATTCCAACCCGTCCCTCACACGCTTCGTCTCTTAAGGCATGATGTGTCCCGCAGACCCTGGAATACGGGCTCGAAAGCGTTTACCGCGCCATTGCTTCCATCCTCTTTTGTGCTGCCTCTCGGTGCTTCGGCATATCGACTGCAGCCGTGGCGTTGAGACATGGACTTCTGCAGTGTGCCGTTGCCATGCAGCAACAAGTTTCCGAAGCGCCAGGGTGCAGTGCAAAAAGGGTCGGAGGGAGGAGTAGCAGTCGCAGTGCTAGCAGTAGCGACAACAGCACCAGCACCAGCATCAGCGGTGGGCTTGGAGGCGTCACCAGTCCCTCCGTTTGTTTTGCTGCATCGGCAGTGCCCGAGCACCGTGGGCCGGGGGGGCAAGGACTAGGGTCAGGAGTGAAGCTGGCGAAGGTGCCGGAAACTCTATGCTTCTTTTTTCCAACGTCTCCGAGGCGGATCAAGCACAACGGGCGATCGGCTCGATTGCAGGATAAATGCCATGCGCGCCTATGTAAACAATAGTGAAGAGGCTACGTAAGCAGGCGGCCGTGGCCTCAGGCAGGACCAGCCAGCCCAGCCCAGGCCTCGACCACGATGGAGACCGCAAAAGAGGGCAAGACTGCAAAAGCCATTTGCTTGCATTGAATCCTGAGCACCGTGCGAGTGTGTGTGCACAGAAACCCCGTGACCTGGCCGTGGCCGTGGCCGTGGCACCGTGGAGAGGCAGAGGCACCGTGGAGAGGCAGAGGCAACGTGCCCCGTTGTCTTCTGGCGTGAGAAGCTAATTGAGAGTCTCCTAGCACCGCGCCCGTGCGTGCTCCCCGACTAGTGCGGCCCCTTTGCCTGACAACCTCAACTCTTCACCGCGACCGCCAACCCTACACTCCCTCTATTATTTTCCTTTTCTGCTTGCTTCTTGAATCGCTCGTCGTTTCCAGCAGCAGACGGCCCACTCTCGTATATCGACCAATGCAGGCTTGAGGGACTGCTCGGGAGGCTTGGTACACGCTGCCATCTCCGTCGATTCACGACAGCCTTCCAAGCGCTCGACGACCTTCTCTTTCTATTTACTGTTTTAATACCTTTGCGCTGCTTTCCTTTCACCCCCAGGTACACACTCCCCTCGAAGCCCATCACCACTGCCGGCCCATAGCCTCATGGCTGCATCACCAATGCCCCCATCCCTTGATCCCGCTACACTCCTGCTCCTGCTCCTGCTTGCCCGGCCTCGGTTCCGCGATTCTGTCCTCAGTCCACATCGCTCCACCACTTACTACCCACCGCCCGTTCGCATCCATCGAACTACCATGCTAACGTTGTGATGCTCGACAGGTTTTCACTTGCTCATTTCGGTCGCTGCCGCTGCCGCTACTGCTACTATCGCAGCCGACAAGCCTATAGCTGATCCCCATCGAGCTCCTGACAGCCGTTACCCCCACAGGCCACCGATGGCTCAGGTACTCACGTCAGTCATCCAGACGACAGGACCTCATACAATGCCATACTCGTCGTCCGATGCCTACAAAAACACGACCACCCACTCCACCCAGCAGCAGCCGCGCCCGTCGCAGATGTCACGCAAGGAGCACACCGCGAATTCTGCACCTACAGGATACAGAACAGCCGCCGCACCCATAGCCCCGTATGCCTTCAGCAGCACGCCGCAACTGCGCCAGGAGAACAGGTCCGTCTCGGCACCTTCCCCCCAAGGCCTGCAGCAACTCCCGGCTCCCGCCAACCAGGCCCGTCTTGGCCATCCCTCCCACCCATCTTCTTCATCCGACTCCACTGTATCCACATCTGGGTCTTCCAATCGTTCCTCGGCCGGAACGGCTGTAGCCGCCAAAGACGACACCGATGCCAAGAAGCCTATCGACAGCATTGCGCCATCACTCACTCTCTCCTCCACCAATCTTGATCTTTCGTTTTCTGTTGGCGAATCGCCAGTGAAGCCGTCGCCAGGGCGGTATCGACGTGGCGCCGGAAGGTCAGACTCGTCAAATAGCGTACCCACTGGCTCCACTACCCCAACACAGCGCTCCGCACCTGAGGGAAACTCTCAGGTGGTACTTTCGCAATCAACACCAAATGCCACCTTGGATGCTGTCGGCTCGCCACAGCCATCGAAACCCGCCCACAACCGAGCCAATAGCGCCGATGATACCGTTCGCACAGGCGGTACGGACCAGGCTAAACGATACAGAAGGCGCAGTTTCAACGGACTAGACGGGGAAAATATCACCCCGAGCAAAGCATCATTGCAGACCAGCATATCCACAGTTCAACCCCCAGTGTTGAACCAAAACCTCGCTAGACCATCCAGTTCTGGCCCCACTGGGAGTCGTCCTGCCTCAAGCCAGAGTCATGAGCGACAGGGCAGCGCAGGAAGTGCGTCGTCCAACAATTCGTCAAGATCACAGGTGAGTCTAGCCAACACACCACACATAACCAAACTAATTTAAACCACAGTCTCGGCCTGCTGCAAACGCACAACGCAGCTACGCCTCCGTAGCAGGAGGCAACTCGGGCAAAGCGACTGAGCCGAACAGGCGTCAAGCTCCCTCTCCTCTGTCACATCCCATCTCCCCGTCAGAGTCTCCGGCCCAAGCCAAGCCAGAGGCAACGTCCAGTGCCGCGATGCAGCAGCTCAGCGCTGTCAACGACAAGGAGAAGGGTATGAAGTCTCGTCTGCGCAGGGCATTCTCTTTTGGCAGTGCCGCTGAACTCCGACGTGCTTCTGCTGAGAATAGCATCTCGGTCGAACGCGCAAGATTGAGGAAGGGCCAGTATCAGAATGATGAGGACGCTGAGCAAGCAGCCATTATCGCAAAGCAAGAGGCTGCAGGTATTGGGGCTGGCATTTACTCTGGCCAGGGTGGCGTCGGCTCCACGGACAACTTGTCTATACAGTCTGCTGCATCTTCTGCGTCGGTTATGCTTCGCAAAATGGGTCATGGAATGAAAAAGGGTACCAAATCGATCAAGGGTCTCTTCAGACCCAAATCAGTTATCGGTGTTCCTGCTGCTGATGGCCCCATCAGACCAAGTGTTGGTCAAGTGTCTCTCGTCACGGTTGAGGCTGAGAGGCACAAGGTTAACGTTAACGCCCACCCGCAGACACAGACTCGGGGAGGCACTGGTTACCCAAGACTTGAACGCAACTCCATCGATGCTGGACAGACCGCAGAGATTGTTGACCCTTCAGTCTCGGGTAGTGACTCCATTTCCAGGAAGAGCATTGTTGGGTCTGATCGCGACCGTGCCGAAGTTCTTTCTTCCATGAAAAAGGGTATTTTGAAACGTGGGTACTCTACGTCTTTTATCCACACAGCTGCTAATGATGAATCAGGTACTGGTACCGGTTCTGAGTCGAATTCTCCAGTAATAAGACCTGAAGACAGTGTTCCTAACGTGGGCTCGTCAAGGTCCAGTTCTCCCGCCACTCCAAAAACAGAAATTGGACAATCCCGCACCGACGACTACTTTGCGAAGCCACCTCGTATTCACAACGGCAGCACTAGAAGTCTTCCAACTACACCTCACGGCGGTATGCGCAATATCAGCTTCAGTCCCCGCATCCAGTTCCACGACGCCTGGTCACCGCAGGACTACGACCGCAGAGGTGACATTGCCACGTGTAATAGGCTTACGCCGATGCTTGCGCAACAAATCAAGGAAGAACTCAACACCTTCAAAATGGTACGCACTGTCCCTGCGATGCTTTCAGAATTATTTGCTAACTCTCGCCACAGGAGATGGAAGTTCACGAGCTCTCGAAACCCCACACCCATTTCTTTTAATGATTATGCATCCAACATTTGGACATGGCGTCTTGGCGAATTCCTCTCATCGTTGTACTCGTGGATTTGAGCCACCAGCATTCACCACTTGTCAGCCCTGTTCCCTGTTCTGGTTACCACGGACTTGTTCTTCCATCTTAGCGAGCATTTGCAATCACGTAGAGGGAGACCACCCTGCTTGCATGGGAGGTTTCTGCAAGCCTGTTGGCAAGGGAAAAAAAATCACAAAAGATGGGAGGAGAAAGTTTTAGCTGGAATTACCTTCCCTTGCCTTCATTTCTTTCTGTGGGTCTCAGTCGTATGTTGACGTCCTTTTTCTTTTACTGTCAAGCTTGTCATTCTCTTATTAGTCTCCTTGTCTCAGTTGCAATCATTGTTGGGTAGTCTCTGCGCTGCATATATCGTGGAGAAAACTGTGTAAGGAGAGGTAGGAAGTACTTGGGGGCGCAAGGGTCCTTGGTAGTTGGCTTTTGCCGAATAGCTGTATAATTGCAGTAATTGGAAGGCGACACTCCATGTTCCTCTGCTTCGTGTTTACTGTATAGAGCGTCTTTTGTTGGGATAATTGCCTGGGTTGGCAGCAGTCTCGCACCAATATTGATCATTTATTCGCCACATCTTGAGATTGGAGCACTAACAGATGCCCCATCTTCTCGACCAAGTCCCCAGACACTTAAGAGCTCGTATACTCATTCGACATTTGTCGCAACGCATTAACGGTCAGACCTGTATGCGTCCAAGTCACGGCAATTAGCCGTTGAGGTCAATCTCCGGTACCTTGCACAAACCTAGGCAGTTTACACACATGCCCGGCACTCACTTCATCTGCCACCAACACCCTGATAACCCCACACCTGTCAATACCGCCCCGCAAAAAATACTTTTGATCACGCGAACCACACCTTCCCGTTCAAGAACGTCAATACAACCACACGTGGGGGTGAGTGCAACGGCAGACAGTATAGGCGCTAGTCTTTTGATTCATCGAAAGTATCGCATGTGGCAGCATGTCCGCAACCTTAATACAGTCGCCTGATCACCGCTTTTGGAATACGACAATGTGGTGCTCGACAGTCGCGCCAAGGGATTCAAGGGGTAGAAAGGAGTGAAGCCAGGAACGGATAGCGCAAGTGTTGCTAAATATATGTTTCTAGCAAGTGCAAGTGACGATACAGGGTGCACGTGCTGAATGCATCCTTGGGTGTAGAAACTGATACAAGGGATATTATCAAATCTATGCATGGATAGTAAGCCGGTGCAAGACCGTTATAAATGGTGCTGACCAAGGAAGATGAATGGACAGGCGTATCATATCACGTGACCATATCGCTCGCTTGACCGTTGTCTTAGCGCGCCAAGATCGCGCACCGGACACGAAATTGGTGTCGGCTCAGCTTTGTCGGTCTCTCCTCAGCAACCACACACATCCGACAAAATGGTATGTCCTGTCGCCGAACAACCTGTTGAAGGGACGAAGGAAAGAATGGACGCTGACTATTTGCAAGGCACCTGCAGCAACTGGAGGCAAGAAGCAAAAGAAGAAGTGGTCTAAGGGCAAGGGTATGTGATACCGCAATATACACCATCCAGCACCTCTACACGCACACCGAGAATATCCTACTACACGCGGAATCATCTTTCGAGAATTCCATTCCTTCCTACGACCCTCGCGCACATTCCGGGCTCCATAATGAAGAAACGCCACTAACAAACCCGCAGTCAAGGACAAGGCCCAGCACGCCGTCGTTCTCGACAAGACCACCAACGACAAGCTCCAGAAGGATGTCCAGTCCTACCGCCTCATCACCGTTGCCACCCTTGTCGATCGTCTGAAGATCAACGGCTCGCTCGCACGCAAGGCGCTTGCCGACCTCGAGGCCAACGGCCAGATCAAGAAGGTTGTCGGTCACTCCAAGCTCAGCATCTACAGTATGTCCGCCATTTAGTTCTTATGATATTACCCTCTTTGGCTTCATGTGAAATGGGCCTTGGGGAGTGATCCACTGGAAACAAACTAACATAACCCAGCCCGAGCGATTGGCGACGCCGAGTAAATCCGCGTTTACGGACTAGTCAATGAATCCAAACGCGAGACTCGGGACACCTCTTTCAGTTTTTCAACGGCATTCCTCTTTCCATTTCCGATCGGCGTCTTCATGAAATGAACGGGTCACTATATTGGGATGCAGGCTTCATAGCGGGACATGAAAATGAGAGGAGCGGGCTCAGGTACAGCACCTGTAGTCCATGGGATGTGCCGGTTACGTACTGAATGAAAAAGATATCCGAAACACCCAAACTGAAATGGCCCGAACCTTCTGTGACTGTCACTCCATCATGATGTGTGCGTGTGTGTGGATGTCTGCAGGGGATAATGATTTTTGGTCTAACAATGAATATGTGTGGCGTGACCGCGTCTCGGGTACAGCAGATAATCTTGTACGAACGCTACTTGCACATGCTATCGGCCCCATTATCAGACCGTTAGTGGGACCCATGAGTATGGATGAGGAATAGTTCGATTCGAAAGTATTACAGCTATTGAGAAGGAGAAGAGAAATTGACAGGAATGGTAGGAGAGACTCAAAAAAACGAGGAACTACCTGGAGATGCTCACAAAATTATTCATCCTTGGAGAAGAAGCCAACATCCCCACTCTTCTCTCCCATCTCCACTAGTCTCTCCCGCATCTTCTTCGCTCGCTCCGCCATCCCAGGCTCGAATCCCTCAAAGTCATATTCCTTGGCCCATTCCCCCACACCGTGTTGCAGCACGTTTCTTGCTCGCTGGCTGCCCGCCAGTGGAGTCCCAATACTACCATGCAACGTCATTCTCTCCTTGTTACAATCATACACACCACGATGAAGAATATTGTTATTGTAAAACGCCACTTCGCCCGCTTTGAGCTTCACAGTGATTTGATTCGGCATGTTTGGCTCGTAGGGATCCGCACTGCGCTCAACATCTGTGCGTGCGCGTTTATGCGATCCAGGAACGAGGACTAGACTGTTGTCGTCGTAGAGTGCTAGATTCCACTGAGCGTGATGGCCTGGTTTCTGTAATCGCTCCAGTTCCTCTTCGGCCGTGGCCGTGGCTGCAATGTCGTCTCTGTGCCACCTTAGGCTAAACTCCTTGTCTGGGCGTACAAGCATGTTGTACAGTTCCATAGTCAAGTCGTCTTCGCCGCATCCGATGAGCGCAGCGACGTATTTTAGGAGTTCGCTGTCAAAATAGGATTTTGCGAAAACGAGATGGTCTGGGTTGGAGGGGTGGAGCAGGTGCTGGACGCCCCATATACCGTCTGAGGGATCTTGAGGCCAGGGCGGGAATTGCTTGGGTAGGGTACGGATGTAGGGCCATTTTCCTGCTCGTGCTGCGGTGGTCATGCGTGTGGCTGCGGCGCGAAGGGCGTCCAGGTCGAAGGAGGGGAAGAGAGATGCGGAGAGGACGACGAAGCCATCGCGGTCGAGTGCTTCTTTAGCTGCCTTGTATGGATCTTTGCTTGAAGATGTGATGTTTGAGGGGGCCGGTGAATCATCTGGTGTTGGTTTGGTAGCTGCTGGTTGTGCAAAGGGTAATGGTAAGAGAGACTTTGCGCTGCCCATGAAACCGCCTTTGTCTGGTTGGTGCTCGAATCGTCGGTGCATCTTGCATGTACCGAGGCTGGTGGTGAGGAGGGATAGAGGTAGGATGAAGGGCCATTGAATGTGCATAGGTGACGTTGTTCAGCTTGCAGTGTAAGGCTACCCCGCATGGTATACTAGCCCCCACCATTGTCCTGATGTGGCAATGGCTATTTCGTGGTGGCTGTTTTTAAATAATATGCTGTGAAGTTGTTGCTACTATAGAGATACCAGTACAAGTGCTGGCTGTTCTTTGCGCACTTGACTTTCCTGCACTTCACTTTGACATGGATGAATCCACTTCATTGACTTTTGAGACCTTGATTCATTCAGCCAAAAACTTAGTACTTTTAAATCCAAACAGCACGATAGTAGTTGCAAATCGATATGTTCGAGCAACTGGGCGCGAACAACTCATACATGCTCTTTCTTCTTAACCTCATCCACATCAGCCTCTACAGCCCCCCCTTTTTTCCTTTGCTCCCTTTCCCTCTCCTCTTCCTCCTCTCTCTTCTTCTGTCTCAGATACTGACAAAATTTACTCTTATCTCTCATCTTTTCACCCCACTTAACGAACACAAACGGCACCACGCACAGGGCTAGCGAGAAAAATCCCAACAGGGTTGTCGCCCACGCTACACCCATAGCTCTATACATCGGCTTCGTGGCAAACGGCAATATTGCCCCAAATGATGATCGAGACAGCGAAGCAGCAGCCATGGCCGAGGCGGCAAAGATCTCGTAAGCGTCGACAAGGTAGTTTAGCAGAGCCATGAAAAGACATAAATAGCCCATGCCAAACAGGACTCCAGCAAGCACGGGCACGATCCAGTGAATGTCCTTTCGCGCCGTCCAGCCCAGCCAGAAAGCACTGATGACGAAAAAGGGGCCTGCGATGCATGCAAGGGGTAGTCGACGCATCTCCTCGCGTTGCGACCAAGGGCGCTGTAGCCGCTGGGCGCGTGCAAGGTACCAGTCCCAAGCAAGGTAGATGCCTGCGGATATGGTGGCTCCGACGCCAATCGGCAGGAATGCCAGACCCATTTCTCCGGCGTTGAAACCATACGTTCCTGTGAAGATGATAGGGTAGGATTGCATGAAAATGTAGAATATAGAATCTGGATTTTTCATAAGTATAAGCTGTGGATGTCCATAAGTAAAGGGAAATGGCGATGCGAACTTACATGCGTAGCTCAAGTACAAACAAGTAAAAAGGACGAGTGGCTCAAAGATGACCATTCGTATTGGCCTCGTCAAGATGACCGTAACAAGGTGATTCAAGTCCGTTTTCTCCAGCTCTAGGGGTGCAACAATACTCTCATCACCCGTCTCCTTGCGTAACCGCTGAGCACGACGCTTCAGAATCGTCGGGCCATA